CGTTCGATGGGCTGAATTGCACAAAACGCATGATCGCACCGGCTAGTCTGGTGCGCTTTGCCATTTTTTTTACTACGTATAATGAACATTTGTATAGGACGCGACGTGTTACACACACATGCACACACACACACACACACACACACACACACACACACACACACACACAGAGCTACAAACGGGACATGCACTAGTCCAATAATCTACTATTAGGGTCGCGATACGTGAAATTTGGCGCAACTTCGCAACCAAAACAACTAAAGCACCGAAATTTTCTGGGCGCTGTGTAGGACCGTGTTTGAGCAATCGTACGCTAAGGAACCATTCACGTTGCCACTCACGTACGAACGCTTGAGATTTAACGTAATTCTTTAACCAAAACAGAGTGCTAAATTTTTTGAGGTATGGTTGGGAGTCATTGAAATAATTTCTAACAGTCGTGCTGACTGCTCTGAATTCTCTTAGATAGAAGCATTTGCTGGAAAAAACTGTGCCATTAGCAACAAAAACTTGCAGAGAAACTGTTCAAAAAACACATCTTCGCACCGACAGCCGTTGTGCTTTCGACTAAGTTCTTTTGAATGCTTGGATTGCTCAAAAACAGTGCTATTGGTGAAGTTTATAATCATACAATTTTGCATGTTTCGTAGGTTCGTTGACATCACGGCGCTTAGCCGAAACGTGAATTTGAGGAGGCACGAAGTCTGCGATGCGCTGATCGATTGTTTTTGTGAATTGTTGGATCTTTCATACGCCAGCCATAATTTTCGCTCGTGGCCTGAAGCAGTGAAATTTTACTGTAAGTTACGAAATGGCAAAGGAAAATTATCCTCCTTTTGCACCCTGTTACTGCGTTCACTAAAAGTTATTTCAATTTAAGCAAACTCGGAACTTTCTCTTTGTTCACCTTGTGCAAGAGGTGAAGGCATTCAGAAGTAACTTGATTAGTAGCATCTGCTAAGACAGGTAGCTATCCACTGGCAAGACTGTCGATGGGTTGCTTAGAAGCAATCTGATGGAAAATTTGATTTCCTTGCGCCAATATGCGGATCCTTGAGGGATCGGTTTTCCACTGGCGTAATCGAACCTTCAATTTTCTGCGCGAGAACATCACTTGTGCTGCACCATACCTGCCAGCTTTTCAAATCTAAGATAAAAAAACTGCAATGATTTTTACAGTTTTTTTATTTACCTCTGCGCTAATTCGAAAAATTACCTTTTTGATGCGTAACTATTTGCAGCCACCATGCATCATCCAGATGCTTACAAATGTTCATTGCGTGATGAATTTGTATTAGCGGAGCATGAAGTGCTGCTAAGAGCGAAAGAAGTAATCACTTTTGAGGACTTCTGATTTTTCAACTTTTCTGAATGGTTTTGCAGTATTTTCGCCTTCTTGGTCTTCGAATTTTTGGGATTTTTCCAGCAATTTTTTTCCAAATTTTCCAGCAATTGTAAAGAATCACTTCCCTGACTAAGATCTCACTGAGTTTTGCTGTCAGCACTTGATATGATCGAAATATAAACATTGAAATTAGAAAAAAATAGTTTTGGTTTGCAAATCTTACGTGTTTGAACGCAAGATTTTCTACCGGTAATTTTCATTGTTTTGGTGAAACTGATGCAAAAGTAGAATCCCTCAGTAATTCTTTCTTTGCGAAAAACGGAGGCACTCGGAAATACCTTGAATAGGCACTCGAAACGCGTACCCAAAAGTAACAGTGCTGTTGATGGCTTCCTCTTCTAAGGGTTCATGAAATTATTGAGCTTTTTTTGTTTTTAGACATTTTTTTCCATTTCTGTCTGCTTTTCTGTTCGATATATTCGTCATTTTAGCACGACTCGATTTTAAGTGATCTGCTGGTCTCATTTCGTGCCGTTGCCACTTATATGCTTGTCAGTGCCGGAATAATTCAGGTAGCTTGAATTATTTGAAAAGAATTAAAAATTATTAAATAATCGAGAAAAATTCTGAATTTTCTAAAAATTCCAAAAAATCACACAAAGTGGGACTGTTTTCAGATTAAAGATTTGTGAAAATTAAACAAGATACCAAGTAACTCTTCAAGATGTAGTTTTTGAAAGACATGCTTATGCTTGGATCAGTCCTAATGCATAATGTAGGCCCCTAGCCATGTGGCTGGCAGCTTTCCAAGATGTTTTAATCCGTGTTATTTAATCATTCTGCCAGTGATGCTGGCGTTCACACACTTTTTTATCACCTCAGCGGTGCCTTCCTAAGAAGCATTTGGCAGGATTTTAATCGTTTCGAGATGTCTTTGTTGTACGTTGAGCATCACTTCTGAAAAATATGGGGGAACACAACAGCATAATGGAGGGACAGCGCACTGAATGCCGGTGCGAAGATGCGTTTTTTGCACAGTTTCCCACAGATTTTTGCCGCTAACGCACTGTTTTTTCCGGCAGATGCTTCTAGCTAAAAGAATTAAGACTGCACGCCAGGCTCTTAGGAAACATCCCATTTTCAGCTTTCTAGCTGCCCTGGTGTCCGAGTTAACAATTCATTCGCAAAAAACTTTCTCGAGCTTGTACATAGAGACCACACGTACCCGGGAGCTGGGTTTGAACTCATTAAAACCTACATGGATGGGGACATTCCTTTAAAATTCCAGTCTTCTAGCTTTTTAGGTTCTCGAGCAGTTAACCCGGAAAAAACTTTGACGAGCTCCTGCATGGGAACTGCGTGAGTAAGAGCGCCCGT